TGAACTCACTCAAAAAAAAAAAAAAAAAAGGCTGGGCCAGGTGGCTCACCACCCGGAATCTCAGACACTTGAGAGGCTGAGGCAGGTGGATCACCTGAGGTCAGGAGTTAAAGACCAGCCCGACCAACATGACGAGGAACCTGGTCTACTAAAAAAAAAAAAACAAAAAGAAAAAATTAGGTCCAGGCATGGTGGGTCACATGGTCGTGTTAATCCCAGCTACTTTGGGAGGCTGGAGGGCAGGGAGAATTGCTTGGGAGGTTGCAAGGAGCAAGATTGTGCAACTGCACCTCAGCTGCGAACAAGAACGAAACTCTGTCTCAAAAAAAAAAAAAAAAAAAAGAAATTCAACTTTTGCTGTGCAAAAGGTTTGAGCTGTTTTAAAAATATCTGTGCTAAAGGATCTGTTTAAGAGTCTCCTGAAAGGTGATGCCATTAGCCGAGAATGAAACCTTGCCAACAAAAACAGAATACTTTGCACGCCTTCCAGACTAATATAGTCTTTAACAGATATCAGGTCAAGTTGGAATAGTGTGGAAATGCTCTAAGTCTCAACAATAACATGTAAGAAAGCAAAATTGTTTTAAACGTACAAACAGGTAGGTGGATAAAAGTGTTTTTTTTTACGTACAAATAGAGAGTTGATTATTAATGTGTTTTTTTCTGCATCCTGTTTTATAGTTCCCAGATTAGCGGCTTGTTCCAATCTAGTACAAGATAAAAGAATAAGACTCAGGAAGTTTGAAAAAGCCATTTCACCAGAAAGGAAAACTGTGTACCAAGGTCAGGAGGACCCATCACAACATGGCCTTCCACACAATATCCAGATACGAGATTCCTGCAGTTGTACACATACACAAAACCAAGAGATGAAATGGGCTATACAATAAAATAACAAATAGCCAAAAGTTCCAAAAGATGAGCTTAAAGCTTATGGCGAAGCTGGTGGGCGGCAAGCCAACCAGGTTAAGGCAAGGAGACTAGGGTACAAGGCTGTTTTAGTAATAATACAGAAAATATGTGAATAAAAATAGTTTACCAAAAATAAACTTATAATGTATATATAATTATTGGTAATCATTTAGTTGTAGCATTACTCTTTATTGCCAAGTAATAAATTTTGCGCTACAATTATAACCTATAAAAACCCAGGGTCAGTACAGAGATAGAAACTGAAAGGATACAGTGGTACAGAGATAAAAACTAAAGGGCACGTTAAAAAAGGCCCATAACGAAAAACGTGGAGGCCTTCGTTATGCCCAGACAGGGCCCCTAGAGGCTTCTTGGTTAGCGGCAGCCCAGTGCCTGGGTAGGCACCCGTTACTTACAGACTGGGGAACAGAGGATCCCCTTTCTCGGAGGAGGTTAAAACCACACTCTTGCCCCACCACCTCTCCTAAAAGGCCTGACATCAGTCAGGCCCGCCCACAGCCAATCCAGAGCCTAAACCGCTCTGTGATGCTGTGCTTCAGCGTCACGCCATGGTCTGCTTTCATGTTCTGCCCTGCTACACTGGCCTCCGCCTCTTACAGTAACATAAATTAGAAAGTATAAAGTCTTTAAATACATTAAAAAAATAATGAAGGTAAACTGTCCGCCTCTCTCTCTCTGCCTCGGCGACCAATAGGGAAGGGGCCCCTGTCCGAGGGAACATGGACTCTGCGGTGACCGTTGACCTATCATGGAGGATGACTCTCAGCTCCCATCCCCTGCCACCTTTGCCTGTATAACCAATAAACACAGCGCGACCAGGCATTGCGGCCAACTACCAGTCTCCGTGTCTTGGGGTAGCTGTCCCCAGGCTCAGCGTCTTTTGTTCTGCTTTGTTTCTTGTTCTTTTAGTGGTCACAATCTCGTGTCCCACCACACAAGAGGAAAACCCACAGGGCCCTGTAGGCTGGACCTACCACATACTAACCTATGTATCCTGGGAGGCGGAGTTTGCAGCAAGCTGAGATCGCACCACTGCATTCCAGACTGGGAGAGAGAGACTCCGTCTCAAAAAAAAAAAAAAAAAAAAAAGTAAACTGAATGATAATAAAAAAATAACACATCAAGGTAATTTATCAAAGCATTTAACTAATTCATTATTATATTGTATCCCATTACTACTTGGATTATTGTGTGTGTCTACTGACTAACTGCAGTGAATCCTCTTTCTATCTTGAGGTATTGTGATTAGAAAGAAGCCAGTCACAAAAAGACAAATACTATTATATACGATTCCACTTACAGAGGTATCTAAGGTAGTCAAACTCATAGAAACAGAAAGTAGAACGGCGGCTGCCAGGGGCTGGGGAAAGAGGGAAATGGGACATTGTAGCTTAATAGTTATAATTCAGTTTGCAAGATGAAAAAGTTCTAAAGATCTGTTGTACAACAATACGAATATACTTAACACTGGAATGTACATTTAAAAATGATTAGCTTGGTGTGGTGGTTCACACCTGTAATCCCAGCACTTTGGGAGGCCAAAGCGGGTGGATCACCTGAGGTCAGGAGTTTGGAACCAGCCTGACCAACATGGAGAAACCCCGTCTCTACTAAAAATACAAAATTACCTGGGCTTGGTGGCACAGGCCTGTAATCCCAGCTACTTGGGAGGCTGAGGCAGGAGAATTGCTTGGAGGTTGCAATGAGCCAAGATTGTGCCACTGCACTTCAGCCTGGGCAACAAGAACGAAACTCTGTCTCAAAAAAAAAAAAAAAAAAAAGAAATTCAATCTTTTGCTGTTGCCAAAAGGTGAGGCTGTTTTTAAAAATATCTGTGCTCAAAGGACTCCTTTTAAGAGTCTCCTGAAAGGTGATCCCATTAGCCAACGAATGAAACCTTGCACAACAATAAACAGAATACTTCTGCCACTCCTCCAGACTATGATAGTCTTTAACAGATATCAGTCAATTGAAATAGCTGTGAAATGCTCTAAGTCTACAATAACATGTAAGAAAAAAATTGTTTTAAAGTACAAAAAAGGTAGGTGGATAAAAGTGTTTTTTTTTTACGTACAATAGAGAGTGATTATATATGTGTTTTTTTCTCATCCTGTTTTTTATAGTTCCAGTATTAGCGGCTTGTTTCCATCTATACAAGATAAAAAGAATAAACTCAGGAAGTTTGAAAAAGCCAGTTAGTCCCAGAAAAAGGAAAAACTGTACCAAAGTCAGAGGACCCATCACAACAGTGGCCTCACACAATATCCCAAGATAGGAGATTCACTGCAGTTAGTACACATACACAAAACCAAGGATAGAAATGGGATACAATAAAATAACAAATTAGCCAAATGTTCCAAAAGAGAGCTTAAAGCTTATGGCATACTGTGGGCGGCAAGCCAACCAGGTGTTAAGGCAAGAGACCTAGGGTACAAGCTGTTTTAGTATAATACAGAAAATATATAGAATAAAAATAGTTGTACCAAAAATAAACTATAATTATATATAAATATTATTAATCATTAGTTTGTAGCATTACTCTTTATTCCAATAATAATCTTTGCGCTACAATTATAACCTATAAAAACCCAGGTCATACAGAGATAGAAACTAAAGGAACATGGTACAGAGATAAAAACTAAAGGGACACGGTAAAAAATGGCCCAAACAAAAACGTGAGCCCTCTGTTATGCCCAGACAGGGCCACTAGAGGGCTTCTTGGTCTAGCGGCAGCACCAGTGCCTGGGTAGGCACCCGTTACTTAACAGACTGGGAAAAGGAGTCCCCCTTTCTCCGGAGGAGTTAAAACACACTCTGCTCCACCACCTCTCGTAAAAGGCCTGACATCAGTCAGGCCCGCCCACAGCCATCCAGAGGCCTAACCGTCTCCCTGTGATGCTGTGCTTCAGCAGTCACGCCCATGGTCTGCTTTCATGTTCTGCCCTGTACACCTGGCTCCGCCCTCTAAGTAACAGTAACAAAATTAGTAAAAGTACTAAAGTCTTTAAAATACATTAAAAAAAATAATGATGTAAACTGTCCCCTCTCTCTCTCTGCCTCGGCGACCAAATAGGGAAGGGCCCCCTGTCCGGTGGACACATGACTCGCGTGACCTTACCTATCATTGGAGATGACTCTCACTCCATACCCTGCCCCTTTGCCTTATACACAATAAATAACAGCGCGACCAGGCATTCGGGGCCACTACCAGTCTCCGTGTCTTGGTGGTAGCTGTCCCCCAGGCTCAGCTGTCTTTTGTTCTCTTTGTCTTGTGTCTTTAGTTCTACAATCTCGTCTCCACACACAAAGAGAAAAACCCACAGGCCCTGTAGGGCTGGACCCTACACATACTCAACCTATTATCACCTAGGAAGTAAACATTCTCTTAACAATATTAAATCCCTAATAATTACATAGTGATATTAATAAGGGAGATTTAAGTTTTTTAAAAATGCCTGGCTGGGTACAGCGGCTCATGCCTGTAATCCCAGCACTTTGGGAGGCTGAGGAGGGCAGATCACGACGTCAACAGGTCAAGACCATCCTGGCCAACGTGGTGAAACCCTGCCTCTACTAAAAATACAAAAATTAGCTGGGTGTGGTGGTGGGTGCCTGTAATCCCAGCTACTTGGGAGGCTGAGGTAGGAGAATCAGGAGGCCGAGGTTGCAGTGCGCCGAGATCATGCTACTACACTCCAGCCTGGCAACAGAGCAAGACTACATCTCAAAAAAAGAATAAATAAATAAGATTTTAAAATACCACTAGCCCAGGTCAATGTATCTTAATAACAGGGGGATGAGCTGTAGTGAAACTGCAGACCATGCAAAAATTTAAAGCACATATCTTGTCCAATAAATGAACTGACTTACAAAAATTAAAATCTATATTAAAAATAGAAACTTACAAGTCTGATGAAGTATAAAAAGAGACTCAGTCTCATGATCAACAGCTTAGGAAACTTAAATGCACATTATTAAGTGAAAGAAGCCAATTCAAAAGACTACATACTGTATGATTACAACATTCTGGAAAAGGCAAAACTATGGAGACAATAAAAAGATTAGGAGCTGACAGGGAGGGAGGATCAGTCAGGGCAGAGACCTTTTAGAGCAATGGAATTCATATGCATGACATCATAATGGAGATACATGTCTTTATACATTTGTCCAAACCCATGGATGTATAACACCAGGAGTGAACCCTAATGTAAACTATAGACTCAGTGATAATGATGTGTCCACATGGGTCCATGAGTTGTAATAAATGTACCCACTCTGATGGGGAATGTTGATGATGGGGGAGACCATACATGTGTGGGTGAAAGAGGCATATGGGAAATCTCTGTACCTTCTGCTCAATTTTACTGTGAACCTAGAAGCACCCTAAAAAATAAAGCATATTAAAACAAATAACAACAAAAAAGTAAGTCCTGTCACATGCTACATGCTTGAACCCTGAGGACATTATGCTAAGTCAGGGATTTAAGCAATGTATTTAAAATAACTGGTGGCTCAAAGAATAAATTGCAATAGAAGTTAAAAATATTTTATCAGGTCAGGGGATCGAGACCATCCTGGCCAACATGGTGAAACCCCATCTCTACTAAAATACAAAAAAAACAAATTAGCTGGGCGTGGTGGTGAGCATCTGTAGTCCCAGCTACTTGGGAGGCTGAGGCAGGAGAATCACTTGAACCCAGGAGCAGTTAGCTAGATTGTCCATTGCACTCTCAACCTGGGAGCAGAGCAAGGAACCCTTTGCAAAAAAAAAAAAAAAAAAAGGCTTGTGGGCAACGCCTGAATCACGCACTTTGGAGCCCGAGACAGGTGGATCACAAGGTCAGGAGAGTCGAGCCCTACTGTAACTAACTTAATACAAAAATAATACTGGTGGGTGGTGGTCGCACTGTAGTCCAGCTACTCGGAGGCTGAGGCAGGAAATGAGTGAACCTGGAGCGCGAGTTTCAGCAAGCTGAGATCGCACCACTGGCATCCAGACTGGGAGAGAGGACCGCTCAAAAAAAAAAAAAAAAAAAAACAAGAAACTGCAATGATATAAAAAATAACACATCAGGTAATGTTATCAAAGCATTTAACTAAATTCATTTAATCTGTATCCCATTACTACTTGGATTATTGTGGTGTGTTCATACGACTAACTGCAGTGAATCCTCTTCTATCTTGAGGTATTGTATTAGAAAGAAGCCAGTCCAAAAAGACAAATCACTATTATATCGCATTCCACTACCAGAGGTAATCTAAGGTAGTCAACTCATAGAAACAAGCAAGTAAACCGCGCTGCTCAGAGGGCCTGGGGGAAAGAGGAAATGGGCACATTGTGCTAATAGATTATAATATCCAGTTTTGCAAGATGAAAAAGTTCCTAAGAGATCTGTTCGTACACAAAACGAATATACTTAACACTGGAATGTCACATTAAAATGACTTAGCTTGGTGTTGGTGTGCACCACGTAATCCAGCAACTGTTGGGAGGCCAAAGCGGGTGGATCACGATCGGATCATGATTGGAACCAGCCTGACCCAACATGCGAAAAACCACGTCTCTACTAAAAAATACAAAATTACCTGGGCCTTGTGCCACAGGCCTGTAATCCCAGCCTACTTGGGAGCTGAGCAGGATCACTTGAACCTGGGGGGCTAAGTGCCAGTGAGCGAGATTCGCACCATTGCACTCCAGCCTAGGCAACAAGAGCCAAAATTCCATCTCAAAAAAAAAAAAAAAACTCTAAGATGGCTGGCATAGTGGCTCATGCCTATAACTCCCAGGCACATTGAGGCAAGGCCGGCGATTCAGGTCATCAGACGTTCAAGACCTGTGTAGATGTTAGGACCAGCCTGACAGGCCGGGCGCGGTGGCTCACGCCTGTAATCCCTGCACTTTGGGAGGCCGAGCGGCGGGATCACGAGGGTCAGGATGATCGAACCATCCTGGCTAACACGGTGAACACCTCCGCCTACTAACATGACAAAAATTAGCCGGGCGGGCGGGGGTGCCTGTACGTCCCAGCACTCGGGAGGCTTGA